CTATTCTTTTCCACTTCCATTATTTATTTACAATGCACACTGTTATTATGAGCTCTATTGTTAATCTGTTTTTTCTGTTCTTTCTTATGTTACAGGCAGCAGGGAAATACAGACAACAGGGCAGAAACTGTTGTTGAAGACGGAGGCATCATCTTTTTCAAGTTTAACACCCCAAATGCACCAAAGAAAAAGTGACGAAAGAACAATCTGTTTGTTTACATGAATGACTCGTTCCTCTTACCCTTTTTTGTCGTCTTTGGCGTGACACACGCTGCCAAACTCTCACATCAGGATCAAATCCCCGCTCTGATACGAAGCTCAGGTTCGGTAAACTCTGACAGCTTTGCTATTTAAGATCAGGATCGGCCCCCCACTCCAAATTGTTGCAGCATTTGAAGGAGCATATTACTCTCCAGATACCTCATTAATCTCCATCAAGGGTGCCAGCGCTGACACAGCTGACAGCAGGGACAATGCCACCTGCTCTTCTCCCCCTTCTGCAGATAATGCATGTTTTACAGTAGCCCAGATGTCTACACTCAATAAAACATTTGACAAAACCAGCCTGTGTGTGTTTTGGGATGTCTGTATTGAGTGGGCAGCGGCATGGGGATGGTGATAGTAGTCCTGCCGACCACTGATTAGAGAATTAAAAGACACAGCTGACATTGACTGTAGCAGAGAGGGGACGATTACAATTAAATCTGGTAAGTAATGCTGATTTTAGAAGGGCACATGCAGGATGCAGGTGTTTTGGCCAAAAGAGCTGGTCAGTTTAAAGGATTATTTGTAAAGAGATTGAGTTAACCTTTCATTTAATGATTGATGAACGTGCGTGTTGTTTCTCTCACCCTCCATACAGCATCTTTGTTATGTTTACAGTTTATTTTTCCTGTCCCCGAACAATGAAGGCAAACACACAACTACAAATAAATAGAATTAAATATGATGAAATATTCATTGAAACCATATTCTTTGTAAAAATAAGAGTCCACATCTTGCCATATTCTGTATCGTATGAAAATAGAGGTCGACACAATCCACAACCAGAAAACCATTCCTGTTGTCTGAAGTAGTGTTTTTCTAGCCTCTATACTTTGTGTGTAAGTGTTTGTGGAGCGTTTATGCTGATGGAATTGTATGGGTGCAGCCGCGGTGCTCCAAGTAAGATTGTGTTCTCTGTGGGAGTCCGAACAAAGAGCTGTAGATCAGCAGTGCTTTGGTGAATATCTTGTAACCATTAAGACTGCAGAGAACAAAATGGCCTTTTGATGGGAACAAAAAGATTGAATAAAAATGGTCATTTCACAGAGATAGTATTGCATATCCAAGTTTTGGAGAGGAGCCGAGCCTATCCTACTACTACAAAGGACAGTGTTTGTCATGGAAATAAGGTGGATTATAGTCTTTGAGGTTTAAGATCAGTGGCAAAATATAGGATGGTGTTTATTGTGGTTTGATGGAACGAAAGAAAGACGACAACATGTGTATAAAATAACATTAAGCTTACTTTGTCTTGTTGCTCTAGCGTTAACTACTGGTTTTAATCCCTTAAAGATATTTCATCCAGCAGACCAACTCTACACCTTCCATATACTGTCCTGCAACAATAGCCTGTTTTTGTCTCTCTTTCTTAAAGCGAAACCATACTGATCCTCTGCAGAACACAAGGGGGGGCTCTGCCTTCCTCTCGAGTGGTGGTGGTGGTGCTGGTGCTGTTGGTGGTGGTGGTGGTGGTGGTGCTGTTGGTGGTGGTGGTGGTGGTTGTGGTGGTGCTGACGAGTCGTTCGCAGCGCTCTTGCTCGAGTATTTTGTTTTTCATAAAGTGACAATACATTTTTTCTGAGCAAGTAACAAATTCAGAATCATCCAAATGAAGTAAAGGAGTTAAAACTCGAAAGAGGCAAGAATTAAAATGATAGTCATATTATTATGAACTATAAACCCATCGGATATCCCTTCTGTTCTGACTCAAATCAAGCACATTTTAAAGTATACATGTAGACATAAGCACCGGATAAAAGCGTTATCCAACACCATAGGTGGATTGTTAAAGAGGTTGTGTTTAACCTCCATGGACATCTAATTAAAGTCCAGAAATATGACAGAATGTCTGCTGGTGCAAATGTTCTGTGCGCACCATCAATCAAGCGGTGCCACTCTGCCCAGAGGAAAACCACAGTGGCATCGGACCAGCGAGGCAACGAGTGGAAAGCTCGCTTTCAAACACACACCCAGCAAAACAGATTATGGCCTGCTGCTGTAAATCACACACACCAAAGACCTTTTATGAAAGAAATGTATGACATGTAAAAAATACTTGAATGAGGATTTTACTAAAACAACACCAACTAAAGTTAATGCAACAATTGTTTTTTACTATAGTAATTTAACTTGCTTTGATGCATTGCTCCCTGTGTCAGCCCATAGGAGCTGCAGAAACAAGTGTTTATATGGATATATGTTTGCATCAGACAAATGCAGTTTGCAATTTTTATCGCATGTGCCTAAGACACAGAAAAGAAACACGGAAATTTGTATGTTTATTACTGAAGCTAAAATTATGCCATTACTGAGGTCAACATTATGCACTAAAGAAGACTGAATGAGAAAACAGCTGTGTCAGATTATATTAAACAGATATAAACACCTGGTATGTGTACATCTTCAAAAGTAATCTGTACAAAGAGAAACACGGTGTATACCATATTACCTCACTGATTTTTGCACTTGTGAAAAATGTCTTACTTGTAAGAAACATCAGTGAGTCCTCAATCCTTTTTCAGGTCAAACAGAATCAGAATCAGCTTTATTACTCTTCAATCTCAACGTAAGTGCATATGTTTAATAGTCATGTTCTCAGTTCCAGATAGTTCCAATAATTGATATGTCATTCACACGACTGTGCTGCACCAGATTCAATTCTGTCTCCCAGCTCCCATTTACAGTGTCCCACGAGGTGCCTCCAGCAGGGCAGTATCTCTGAGCAAGTTTACCCCCAAAATAAAGTCAAAAGTGTCTTTTTCTTATAAAGTTTTCCTTACTATTTTGAATCTGTTTGTTTTGTTGAGATTTGTTAAAAAATAAAATATCATTGAATCGTCCTCATTACTTAATGGATGCTGGGTCTGCGCAGTGAGAAGGTCGTTGGTGCCTCTATTTATAGTTATATCCATAATTCCGTATAGATGTGCCAAAGCTCCCACTGGGTATTTGCTCCACATACTTCACAGATTCCGCTCACAAAGAATGAATACCAGGTCTGTGTTGGCAGCCTGTGCCATGGTGACAATACTCACAGGTCCGAAGACAAACGCTGGCAGGTACATGTGTCTCCTCTAGGCCACTGCGTCCACCAGGGGGTTGCATTAGGGCTGTTTTGGGGATATTTGACTTTTCCCTTTAACTTGGAGGTCTCTGTAGAAATTGTTGACACGTTTCCAAGGACTCCCGGTGTAAGACAGACACAGCCGCGAGGTTTTTCTAAAGCTGTTTCCATTGGCCTGTGTTTACCTGACATTTGGATTGACAGTAGAGTGATTGGAAATATCCACCATTCACTGCCGTGAGCTCCTGAGTGCACGGAAAGTGCTTTTGTAGTCTGGCTGTAATGGGCCAAGTTTGAATTGAAGGTTGAGAGAAATAGCCTCACTGCGGTCGCGCACTGTGAGGGACTGACACACCACAAATAATACTGCAAAATGGGGTCCTGATAGCATCACAGAGGATGTACAATAGCGTGCAGGCTCTCATTTCAATGCACTTTCAGAATGTTGCACTGTGCACAATCAGATGGAAGGGATAAAATCACGTCAAATACAAACTCAGATTGTGTCCCCGATTGTGTTACTTTTTGTCCTACAATCAAAGCACATCTTAAAACTCAATTACGGATCACTTTCTTAATCACAGGTAAGAAAGTGCAAACCTGCAATGTTGATTGGCATTGTTCAAATTCATTTCCATTAGTGCCTTTAACAGAAATTGTGAATTTAAAAAGGATACATAGATTTGGATACAAACTACCTGTGTTTGAACAATAATTGTAGACAGTTTATTTGTCAGAATGATTGAAAAATGCAGTGTTCCATCCTTAAATTGTATATAATTCACTCAAACGCCGGGGCGGTTGGTCATGGTAATTGTCTGTCACTTCATTGAAACTCAAAACAACCGGCGATAGAATGCAGTCTACAGGTAATCTTGACAGAAGTTGAACTCATGAAGCCGACTGCCTGTATAGTGCGAGATCCCGACAATAGCAGTACTGTAATTGAGTGCCGGTAATGTCATTAATGTGCGTACTTGTTGTACTCTTAGCCGTTAGCCAAACACATTGTCCAAAACAAATTAAAATGAGCAAACTGTTTCAGGGCCAGTTAAGAGTGCTGGTAAAGTTGTTGTGAGAAAGAGTGAGTCACCACGAGCACGGGAGGCCATGCAGCTCTTGCGGCCACCCCACAAAATGTATGTACAGACACAGCGATGCACACTCATCACACACAGACGCACGCACACATGCAGACGATCACATAACCCTCCTCGTGAGGATAACCAGCACTACATATAAAGATTTTACTTTTGGAAAAGGGAGATCACTGGTATTAGATCTTTCTCTATCAAAATAGACAAAAAAATGAATTTTATCTAAAATGATGGATCTGCCTGTAATTTAAACTACCTTGTTTTGTGTTTTCATGTACAATTGTAACACTGGATAGGTATAATAAGAAACTCTCTTGTCATATATATGAGGCAGTTACAGGAACAGTGTATAACCTGGAAGTCCCATTAAATATTCAATGATGACAAAAAAGTAAACAATGAAACTTCATTCCTCACTCATCGACACAAGTATTATAAACGGAACATGCATAATACACAGAGGAAAATGATCCAACAAAGGATGGTTGACATGTTGACTGGCAAATAATATTACGGTGTGGAAAACGAATAACCAATCACCTTTATGAAGGACGGCGGGATTTCCTGTATGTGACGCAAACACTCCCAGTCAACACTGGAGGCCCCACCCTTTGTGTTACCTACCGCCCGTCAATCAAAATAGAAACAATCCTGACAGTTATAACCTATTTCTACGCGTAAACAATCAATTGTATCTGCTGATAATGCCCGGTGGCTTGTGACTATCAGAAGTCTCCGTTTCAAGACAAGTCACGTAATGACGGGTACGTAATATATATCTTATTCCTCAGCAACGTAAGCTAACGAGCTACCACAGGCATCTTCTAGCTAAATTAGCTAGCCGGCTAGCAGGGATGCTGGTTGGTAATATTGCTAATCATCGCCCAAGTTAGCCGTAGTAGCTAACGCAGTAGTCGTCAGCTAAGCTAGCTGTGTTAGCTTCTCTGGGAAACACCACTAGTGAGCTCTAAAACTAACGTTAATTATTGCTTCGTCGCTTTTTTCTTTATGCAGTTCGGTGAAGTTCGTAGCGGTAGTTGTGATTGTATTGTTTGCTATTGTGCTGCTATGACGTTACATGAATGTGCTCGTCTTTTATTTATGAGTTTCAGGCTTGTTTAGCTAGCGTTAGCTTCGGCTGTTACCGCTCTTAGCTAGCTGTATCCCTTCTACCACACAGCCCCAGAACAGCGGATGAAATCAGAGGACATGGCTGCGTTGGACGGGGGCGGCAGTCAAAGCGACTTTCTGCAGCAGGAGCAAGAAAGGGGCAATCAGGTAACGCAAATGTTTCCCTCACGGGCTTAGGACGCATCCGGCGAACGTTACATCTATCGACGAGTAAGCGCTTACCGAAGTTCCCACATTTCAAAATTGTGCCCTCATTAGCACTTCTCGTGCACTTCACAAATCCCGCGTCCTTGGCTTTTTATCTCTGATCTAAACGTTACCTGGGTCACAGGTGCTGCCTGGAGGGCTAAACACAGGACGAGGTCAACCTCCTAACTTCAGACTTTGCTCTTTGGCAATGAGTTGTGACGTTAATTGCTATGTGGCACAGAATAATGGACACCCACTTTCTTCCTTTTTATTTATCTATTTCTTTTTAAATGTACCTATTGTGGGTAGGACACTCAGCCGTCACCCCTCGACCTGCTGGCAACCACCTGCACTACGGTTGGGTCACCGTCGTCAGAGGTGGACAGAGGTGGTGTAGCTGATGTGGTAAGTCAGCACCGCTGCTAGATCACACACAGCTACACCAGTCGGGTTGAGTCCTCACTCGCAGCCGAGCAGAGAGAGTAGGCGAGCTTACCCCTTTTTAAACATTGGGACATTTAGGTGGATATGTCATTGCATCGATTGGGATGTTTTACCAGTGACTAGTGAAATAGACCCAGCAAGGGAATCCATAATCCTTCTGTTCATGTGACCACGTGTACCGGGGCTTAACCCAGTGGCCCTTAAATATGATTTGTTGAAAGCAGTTTGCTTTTTAATGCAACGGGAAGAAAAGGATCTCTATTCGCGTTCAGTAGCACAAAACATAATATTGCCACACTCAATGCTTTGGATTTCTTTCTCACATCCCTAATCACACTTGCATCAGAGAATGCATACGAGTTCAACTCCAGATAAATGAATGTTGGTCAATATGAATGAATATATTTGACTGTTTCCATTCTGGGATCTTGATTTATGTATTTTATCACCAAATAAGTGTTTTCCAATATGCTGTAGGTAGTTGTTTAAGGTGTCATTTCTATCTACTAATCAATTTGAGGAAAGCCAAGAGCCCCAAATAAATTATTTCACCATAAAGCAGCTGCAAGAGGTAAGCTCAACACAAACCTATGTGTGTTTGCCCATTTGTGAGGTAGATTTTTCTTTTTCTAAAAGGATTGCGGTCAACAGCTGTGACAGGACTTCCTGAAAACGTAGCACTGTACACCATATATATAACCTTAGCCTTCACATGTAGTCCGGTGTAGCAGGATGAGCTGTTGGCCATCAAATGTATCTCATGTATCAGTAGCACGCAGACTTCAGTTATGACATCAGGGTTTCAATGCTTGATTTACTGTAATTTATGGTCAATTGCCTTAAATCTATTCCTTGTACATTTTTTAAAGGTTACGACTAGACTTTCTTTTCATTGCTTAAGATATGTAAATAACAACATTTGTTTTTTGTGTGTGAATCATTTATTTTTTCAGACATCAGATCCATCTACTCAGCTTACCGGAACTGAAAAATGGGAGGTTTTAACCCCGACTACAGCAGCAAAAGATGAATCTGGATTGATACAAATCCAAAATGAAGGAATATTAACATCGAACGGACAGTATGTTCTTCCTCTCCAGAACTTACAGAGTCAGCCAATCTTTGTGACGTCAGGATCAGACGCCTCATCTGCCAATTCAGTGCCTAACATTCAGTACCAAGTAATTCCTCAGATCCAAACAGCCGACGGACAGCTGAGCTTCTCCACTTCCGGCTTGGAAGGATTGACTCTGTCTCAGAATGCCACGGGGCAGATTCATATCTTACCTGACGGTAGCCAGTCTCTCAGTGTAACATCAGCTGCAAACATCCTTAACAACAACAACCACCAGAACCTCATATCACAGGCTGGTAATATCCAGCAGCTCCAGGGGGTTTCCATTGGCAGCTCCACCTTCAACAACCAGGTTGTTACAAACGTGCCTGTGGGTTTGCCTGGGAACATCACTTTTGTTCCTATTAACAGCGTGGACCTGGACTCCCTCGGCCTCTCTGGTGCTCAGACTATAGCAACAGGGGTCACTGCTGATGGCCAGCTAATCATGACGAGTCAGCCCGTCGATGGCTCGGAGAGTGTGACTAAGACCGATAATCACCTTTCACAGACACTACCGGTCGATGGCTCGAATGCAAATCATGAGATATATGTGCCAACGTCTTCCTCTCAGCTGCAAATTCCAATGAACCAATCGGGTCTGCTGACACAAGACACTTCGTTGTCATCCGTGGGTACAGAGCAGGCTGACTCAAGTTCTGGTCTGCAGGAGGGCTTCATCCAACAGAACCAGGAGCATAGCATCCAGGTGTCTTCAGGTCAGTCCGTCATCCAGCTGCAGCAGGTACCCATCCAGACCACCAACGGGCAGGTGGTCCACTCCATTCCAGCAGGCGGGCAGAACCTGCAAAACGTGCAGCTCATCAACCCGGGAACATTCATCATCCAAGCCCAGACGGTCACACCGTCGGGTCAGATACAATGGCAGACCTTTCAGGTGCAGGGAGTGCAGAACCTACAGAACCTGCAGCTGCCGACGACACCCCCCCAGCAGATAACCCTGGCTCCAGTCCAGACGCTATCACTGGGTTCCAATCCAGTCAGCATCAGCACGGGGCAGATGCCCAACCTGCAGACCGTGACGGTCAACACAATGACCCAACATGAAGAAGACCTGGACCACCCAGGAGGTACTGGGGCTCCTTTTATTCCTATATTTATCTGTCTATGTGTGTGTGTGTGTGTGTGTGTGTGTGTGTGTATTTAAAAACATACATTTGTTAATATATGTAGTATATCAGCATTTGTATAAGATACATTGATACAAAGTGCTAAGTTTACCAGAGCTTAATATTTAAACATTTATTCCAGAGATTCGGATAAAAGAAGAGCCAGACTCTGGAGACTGGCAGCTAAGCACCGACTCCACCCTGAACACCAACGACTTGTCCCACCTTCGCGTCCAGATGGTGGAGGAGGACGATCAGTTGGGTCAGGAGGGCAAGAGGCTGCGCAGGGTGGCGTGTACTTGCCCCAACTGCAAGGAGTCGAGTGGGAGGTGAGTGCGCCTGACTTCATACCGCTCCGCATTGGAAACCAGGCAAATCAGGACCCTTACTGCACGTCCCTGTGTTCCTCAGAGGGTCCAGCACTGGGAAGAAGAAGCAGCACATCTGCCACATTGCTGGCTGTGAGAAAGTGTACGGGAAGACATCGCACCTGCGAGCACACCTGCGCTGGCATTCAGGGGAGCGACCTTTTGTCTGCAGCTGGGTGTTCTGCGGGAAAAGGTTCACACGCAGTGACGAGCTGCAGAGACATCGGAGAACACACACAGGTGCGGTTCTTTCTTTCTTTTTGCCCCCTCTGTGTTTTTTTTTTTTTACATCAGGAAGAAAAGAAACAGTCAAATGTGTTAATTTTTTGCCCTGCAAAGTGTGAGTCACCTTAAGGAATTACAGCGCTGGTTCCTCTTTAGCAATGTACAACGTACAGCTTGGAAAAAAGCACAACCAGAAAAAACAGATTTTTCTCTAATTTGCCGGATTTGTTAACATCGACATACAAATATTTCAAGCTTTTTACTTTGGGTTTTATGCAATATTCTCCTTTTGAATCAGAATAATTGTATCAGCTCACCTAAATTGTCATTTGATGAAATCTCACCCTGCAGATGCCGTCTGTCTTCACGGGGTGAACTATAGGAAGTCGTATCCTATGAGATTTCCAATAAATATACTAGCACAGCGTAATGATCTACATTATCTGATGACATTTACTCCCAGAATGGACTTTTAAAAGAGATATGACCAATTTATAAACCCTTGCCATGTAATTGGCTGACTGCGGCCTCTGACAGCACGGCCTCTGGTAGCATTTCATTACAATGTCAGCTTCAAGATCAGATATCAAAAGGATAGTTCCGATTTTTTTTTAAGTTGGCTTGTATGCAGTACTTATCCATTCTCAGTTTATTATCCACAGCCGGTCTTTAAGTGCCTGATACACGTTTTGCTGCTTGTGTCTGTTTTCCTAAACTTGTGCCGACCGCGTTTCTCCTGTTGGTAACAATATACCAACTTTTGATTAGAACCTCGCACAACCCTGCTTAAAAAAATCCAAACCTTCCTTTTAAAAGTTTTATGTTCGGTGTTAATTGCGTACAACTATACTGTCAATTTGTCATGAATGTGTCTCAATCAAGCATTTCTTCATTATTTTAAAACCAAATTTAAACCATGGTGCCACTTTCTTAATCTTGCCTCACTTATGAAACCCGTCATCCAAATGGATTCCACAATGTATTCTATGCGACGTGTTCGCCTCTCTAACTCCATTTTGTCTCCGGCAGGAGAGAAAAAGTTTGTCTGCCCCGAATGTTCGAAGCGTTTCATGCGGAGCGACCACCTGGCAAAGCACATTAAAACTCATCAGAACAAAAAGGGCGCGAGCTCCGGCAGCGCCGTGGTGGCCTCGATGGAATCCGCGGGGTCCTCAGACAGTATCATCACCACGGCGGGCGGGACCACCCTCATCCTCACCAACATCCAGCAGGCCTCCGGCGACGCCCAGAACATCCTGGCCAACGCAGAGATGCCGCTCCAGCTCGTCGCCACGGTAGCGGCCAGCGAAGTCATGGAGTGATTTACACTCCGCGTATGAACTTCTGTAACCCGTACTCATACTTTACGCTCCTACCTGCATTTTTATTCAAGATTTGGAGGAAGAAAAACAATGACATTCTAAATATATATTAAGTATATATTTTAACTCAGAACTAGTCAGATCATGTCAATACTCGGTTGTTACCAAGAAAAACTAGCAGAGGAGACTGAAAGAAGAAGAAGAGGAGGAGGGGGAAAAGAAATTGCAGTAAACACACAAGGAAATGCCTTATTTTGTACAATATTGTGTCGTTGTAAATGTAGGATGTCATTTTGTTTTTAACCTACTTATTACTGTGTTTTCAGGAAAAAACTATTGGTAAGTTGAGCAATTTTCTCGTCGCTTTTATTTTCATGGTATATTCTTATGATGTCCTTGGTATGCAAGATTTGTACCATCCTTTAAGCAAAGATTTAATCAAACAACAGAGCTACTTTTAAGTAATGTTGATGCTTATGTCCATACAAATTTATATAAGTTGCGTGTTTTTATTTTTTATGATATGCATTCTTATTTCAGTTTCCTTCTTGCATTCAGTCGTCTTGCAAACTAGCCAGCCATCTTTCAAACATTTGTTCATACTTGCTACGTTTTGCAGGCGAAAATCAAAACAATCAAGTTTTTGTATTGTAGTTCCATATACTGTTGATACGATGCACATTATTTGCTTATTAAATATTTTGACTGAACCGCTATTTATATTTAGGCTTAGACTTCGACAACATATTTGTGATATTAAAAGTCAAAAATATTTCAAATGGCACCATTACGTGTAACTTAAATGTGTTTTTTGTAAGACCCTTTTTGGTGGACTTTTAAAAAAAAGAAACATGCATTATGATATTGAGATATTGAAAAGCCATTTTGGGAGGAATTTGCCAAATTTGACTACAAACTCAGGATGACTTGTGACTGTGTGACATGATTAGATTAAATCACCTTTGTAGCTTCTCGGGCCGTGGTTGTGATGTTGGGAAGAAATGCGTTTTGATGATGGACGTTGGTCCATCTGAGGGGAATTAAGTTGTCACCATGTTGCAAATTCTCGTTGAATTCTACCAATTCCATTTTTGCGATGACTACGAACCCTGCTCATAGAAAGCTTTGCAGGATTCTCATCAGTACCTTGCTCCATCACACAGGTGGAACAATGAAGTGCATTACTGAAAGCGGTACTCTTTCTTTTTACAGTTCTATTCCCATCACTTCATCTTGTTAATCCTTTTGTATAAAAACTATTTGTGTACTATCAAAGAAACTGTCCTTTATATTCATTGTCAGTAAATTTAAAATGTTTGTCTTTTTATTGATACTTTTGCTTTTACTTCATGTTGCACTTCCCTCTTCCACATTGTTTTTTTTGTTTTGTCTCTGACCCCCGTCCCCCCGACAACTGTTGAAGTGTCAATTTGAATGCACACTGATCAGTGATTGACGGTGGCATGTTGGATTCCACTTTAGACACGTTGTCCCCATTTAAACAGCATATTTATGTTATGTACTAAACTGTTTAGATTTGTTCACTTTAAAATCTTCTGTATAAATATGTCAATATAACATCAATATAAACCTTCTGTTACACTTGAATTTTCTTTCATTTTTCCTCAACTGTCTTTATTGATGTTGTTGAATGTTTCCCACTAAAACGACTAACTCTTAAGATAAGTCAGAATTATACTTGAAACCTTTTGTTCTGTGTCTTGTCATCGAGCCAGAGGTCCCCCCCGCCCGCTTATACTACTTTGGGCTTGTAGTCCAGTAGATGTCACTACAGCCAAGGGAGCAGCACCGGCGGTGTGTTTGACCTCTTGACCTTCCCCGTGCGGCGCCACTAAGATGAGGACAAAAGCCACGGGGCTAAAAGTGGGCGGGAGCCTCCGTTAACCACAAGCTAATGTCACAGAAATGTCAGCAGCATATTCTGCCGTCTCGTGACTTTGAACAAACCCAGCGGACGCGTGAGGGGAAACCGTGCGTGATTTGTTGACCTAGATTCATGTATATTTGAGTTAACTACTAGGAGTATTTCACTAACCTACTCTCTCTCTTTCTTTCTCACCTCCACGAGTCCATCCAGCTTCCTGTCACTATCACTTGCCACAGGTACCAATGATTTCTTAGTATTCTGATGTTATTACCACACACACATGCTGCATCACGATCTGTGCTTCTCACTCTAAATTGGACATTAAATTAATCAGGCACTGGTGCTATTTTTCTTCTATATAAAAAACTAAAATAAAAGACTGGTAGAATGCATTCTGTCCTTCCTGGTTTTAGTGCCTGCGAACACGATTCAAATGGTAGTCTATAAAAAGCACAATGAAAAACACATGCTTTTTGAGTCTTTGTCAATTTGCTGAAAACGAGTCAGAAGATCGAGTCTATAATGTTTCAAAGGACTCGTCTGTATTGTCCTTTTCATTTGCATAATTTAATGAATCCAATTCATTGTAATGCAATACTAAGTGCGCCAGGAACATAGAATGACAGTTTGAGTTAATGAAATGTGTTAACGGTATCATCATTTACTTGTATGTTAATTAGTCCAATTAATTTGCGGTGCTCGGTAATCTGAATATTGTAATAATCTTTTCTCCCCTGCAGGAATGAACCTGTGATACACAGACCTTTGGGACAATCGGCTTCAGGAATCAGGTTTTTTTTTTATTTTTACTTTTTCTTTCTTTTGAAACGTGTTATTTTAAATACAAAGAAACCGTGAGCGCAGTATTTCCTAGTTGTGAGGAATATTTCTGTTGTTTATTTAGGGAATTTGTACCCACTGCTCGAATATTATTAACCGGCGTGTGTAGGTCCTGACTTAAGCTTTTATGACGCAAATCCCACCGCCGGTTGGAAATGAGTTGAGGGGGTTTGTCCGGTGCCAGAGTCCGGATAACTTCTGCTCGCTTGACAAACGTTCTCTTGCTTTGTCACAAGAGGATGGAGCTCCTGGCCGGTGCAGATAAAAGCTGCCGTCAGTGGGCGATCGTCCTCGGCACGTTAAGGGGAGCCAGAGAAATGGCCGCCTGGATTGGAACTTTTAAGTTCTATAGTCTATTTATGTTTGTCAGTGTTGGCCTGCAACCTTATGTGCAGAGATTATGTGTTTTTCTGCCCAGTTCATTAATCTGGAGATGTGTTTTTAGGTTTTAGAAAGCATGTTGTGGCTCATCTTCTTTGTTGAGGGAAGCGCACTTACTTCCTCATTGCTGCTGGTGTAGTTTGATCTTCATCTAGAACAAATTCTGCGTGAGAAATGAAACATTCAACTTGAGTCTTACTTTGCAGAGTTAAAGAAAAGCTTCAGCAATGATGCAGCTTCAGTCTTGGGTTTTCAGTGATGGAAAAATAGTGTTTACTATACTAGTTGTGTGATTTTATATTTTATAGAAAGAAATAGCTTTGGTTCTTCCAGCTCAGGTTGAATAATAGTACACGGTGCATAATTCATGTGCAAAATGCATAAAGATTTTAAACACTGTTATCATGCAATAACATTTCCAACTGCATGTGGGATAGAACTCAAAATACTGTTGGGATTACGGTTTTTAACCATTGGGGGGTAATGTGAACTGTTCTGTGAATTATTTATTTCATTCCACTGTCCCAAATATACAAAATGCTTTAGCGAGAGGGCTGCTTCTTCCTACATACCTGTGCCTGATTGTAATGCTTTTCCCAGTTGTTGAACGATAGGCCTGCAATTTTGGCAAAGTGACTATTATTTGCTTTTCCAAAGGAATCAACAACTTGAGAGTACAGTGCGGTGACATGTTTGGGGTTGGAGAGCTGGACTTCTTTGCAACACGTCTCTTCTGTGAAACTCAGAATTTTGAGCAAAAAGCCTTTATTTAATTTCCCTTTTGTACATGAGTACAAATGTCTCCCCGCGGATGAAATGCACTCACCACGCCGCTCAACATTTTGTTTATAGAGCGAGTGCTAATGGTGTTTCTCTGTGGAACCATCAGGACGCCTGAGACCACGGAGAAAGTGCGCTGTGTGTTTACATTCCTCACACATTCTTGCCCTTGATCAACTTTAGAAGGCAGACAATAGCAGATCGTTCTCCCCATGCAGGGAAACGCAGCATGGATCAACTCAATAACCTGATATTCCCTCTACTGAGTGCGGCCAATTTAGCAGAAGGTCAGCGCCTTTTTTTTTTTTTTTTTAACACAAGAGACAATTTGGTGACCTCCCTCTGGAGCCCCAGCAGGACAAACAGAACAGGTGGAGCTACAAAGTGCTCGTGTTGACATTGCGTTTGGACTTCTCAAGGTGACACCCGGTGAGGGACAGCGAGGCCATTATGCAAACCGGAGTCACGGCCAGAAGTGGCGGGCTTGTGGATTTCGTTTTTTTCATGTAAGGGTGGTTGTTTAAATGTAAAGATGTTCACTGGATTTAAAAGTACGGTGTTCTGTGGCCGCAAATCATTTCCCATCATTATCCTTTTCTATTCAGACCCACTGGAATTATGCTCCGACTACGTCCTATTTAGGAGGGTGGAATTCTGATTCGATCAATCTTTTCTGTCCGCATTGCAAAAAAAAAATCTCTCCTGCTGGTTTTGCATTTACTGTATGTACGTTTTTATACCAGATCCAACTGTGAAAATTGAGCTGACGACAATGAGACACCGGCATCACATTTTCCACATTATGTTGTTCTTTGTACTCATACGCAGCATGTGCCGGTTTTTAGTGAAGAGACAATTGGGTAAAATGCTTTTGAGATGTATGAGAAGATTAGGAGGGATCACTGTAGGCCGTCGCTCACAGCAGACGTACAGTTTTCCCGCGGTACGAAATAACTCTTTATCGTTATTGCGCACCTCAAGGTCAAATGTGACGACGGCTTCAACTTCCCCGGACTCGAGTTGGGGATAAACTGCGCTCGGTATTCTCCTCTTTTCGGCGACAGGAGCTGGCCTTCAGTGTTTCTCAGCCCACTGAAAAAACATTTCCGACATGAAAGGAGTCGTTTTTTGTATCTGAAAATGTACATTAAATGGTGTCAACAACATCCTGGAGGTCAGAGCAGAGTCCCCATGGAGACCGAATGGTGGCTGCCGCGCTGGAAGACTCGGCGCCCTCCCCCCCCCCCTCCTCCTGAGTGGCGTCTCCGTGATGGCTCTCAGTTTCTCTCGTCATGTTCCTGGCAGCTTTGACACAGGTAATATGCATGCAGGCTGACAGTGGCTGGGATGTGCGGCAGAGACAATGATGTACATATCATTTTCCTCCCTGACTGATTGAAGACTGTAATCTGTGCTGGACTTTCTCTCTGATTACACACGTCTCAGGGAGCAAAACAAGGACTCTGAGCTGCCACTGGGCAGTAGACTCATCCGAGGCTTTCAGCCTTCGAGAGGAGAGAAGTCCGCCTTTAAGGTGAGCTCAATTTTCGTCCCATTTACACTATTGTTACAAGTGTCGGATGGAATGCATCTGGCAGATAGTGGTCAAACTGCGGCTGTCTGAAGATGATACAGAAACAGATGTATCCGGCACCCAAGGTCATCCTATTCCCGTCTCTAGCTCCCAAAAAAAAAAAAAAAAAAACCCCAACATGATGAATTCTACATTCTCCGGCATTGTGTTCTGTGCTTGTAAAATGCAAAGTGTCCTCCGCAGCTCAAAGGGCCCCGACCTGCCCGACGAGACCAACAAAAGAAAAGCAGCCGTACCGAACAAAGAAAGTGTTCCGCCTGATTAATGAGCAAGCAAACCCAAAGGAATGATTATTTAAGGGGGTTTTTTTCTTCTTCTTTTTGCACATAATATATGTTTGCAAAAAATGCCCTCGGATTCTCACCGCACCGTTAACCCGCCTGCGTGACCTTGTGAGGTGCACTTGTGTCTTTACGTGAAAAGAGAGATTCCTCTGTTGACAGTAGGTCAATCCTTTACAGAAGTTACCCAGCACATTACAAGGTTGGTCTCGGGAGAGAAGTAATGGGTTCTGGGCAATTGACCAACCTGCCATGCTTTGCTGCACCTGCACTGAGTTAGAGCTGTCATCATTACCACTTCCTCTAACGTTCCCCCACAGCAACCCGGACACTCCCACTCACGGCGATATTTCACTTTGGTGGAGCGTTTTCACTCTTTCATTATGCATCCCGGCGTAGACGGGCAGTGGCGGGCTAGCCGTGAGCCAGCAGGCGGCAAGGTAACCTCTAACGGGCCTTCTGCACCAGAACGTCACCTTTCCAAAATAGCTCACAGTCGCCAGCTACGACTGACTGGGAACCAGTAAAAGAAATCGTCAAGATGAAAGGTTGTTAAAGTGTCTACCCACATTTTCTCATTGTCAAAGTATGAAGAACATGAGGTCAGTCATTTGAAAGGCATTCATCCTCTATTTTAGTTGATTTACTCAAAATGATTGCAAGATTGTACAGACTGGAAATAATCATTAGGATGTTCTGTAAGAAAAGAGGAAAAAAATAAAAAACGTTTGAATGGTTCATTAAAATGAATCAAAAGCTTCTACATTATTTAGTTAATCAAGGCTTGCTGTTAGGAAGCACCTTGAACTTAATTTATATATTTTCTTCTTTCCTTTTCATTAGC